CTTTTGGAAAGCTGTCTGTAGAAATTTTTCCCATAATTCCTTCCGTAGGGTAGATAATTAGCATTTAATTTTGCCATTTTTAGACAAGGGTGCATTGCAATGAGTGCCACACCCAGACCCCAATACCGACAAAGCCCAAATTTTACGTGGAACGAGTTGAGATTATAGGTGACCTAAATCCATGAGATGTGTACGGGGGCCCTTACCGTCTAGGAGGAGAAGCGGTAACGGTGACTTGGCGGCGGAGCCAGAGGAGCCGGCGGAACATGCGGGTCGGGACTAAAACCATGTGTACCGCCAGCGCCTACGCTGGTGGTACAATAACTCATAGAAATATAATAAATTCTGTCTTACCACAAAAACGGCAATTATAGCTATTATTCTGATATCTGAATTTGTCTTCAGAGCACGTGACCTCCATTGATGGCTGTACTCTGTTATAATCTCTTAAGAGATTTTAACAAAAAAACAAACTTTTTAGAAAAAAACCAGGGACTAACTTTGAATGCAAAAATGGATTCATTAACCATTGGTAAGTATGGGAAAATTGTTGTTTACTCCAGGAAAATTCATTTTTTGGCCAAAACGAAGAGTTATTATACCTTTAAGCAATGCCCCTGACCCTTCCACTGGAACCATAACACCCTGCAATAAGTAACCGTATCTCACATAGCCCAACTTTTGATCCTAACAAAATAGTAGACCTTGCCATTACCATTGCGTTAGAGGTGACACACCACAATCACAACTTGGTTGAGACAAATGCACTCAACCTGAACAAAAACAACCATTATATCCCATTCTGCACACCAGACATGTACATAATAAGAGCTCCACCCGGAATGTACTTACTGTAAGTTACATAATTACATCACCTGTTTGTAATTAAGTCCATCCTTTTGTAAAGCAAGCAAATAATGATTGAAATTATTATAGCTATAATGCAACAGCTGCTGAATAATTCATGTTGAAAACATATTTAAAAAGAAAGGCAAAGTCTTATCTTATAGAGAGATTTATTGTATCAAACTCTGAAGTTAAAAAAAAAATGATAAACAATCAACTATATCTGAAATAAATGTCATAGATTTTTCATTTTCGCATTTTCCACAAAATGCAAAAAATCCACTGAACTTTTTTCATTCATCTATTCATCCATCCTTCATTTTTTCATTTCTTTCTCAACCATATTCCCTTTTTTATTCATTATCAATATCATCTACATTCTTGCTGTGCTGTAATGCAGACACCTTCACCAAAAGCCTATATCAAAAGTCATGACACCCTTCAGGCAAGTGACAAAAATATCAGGTTTATTGATCATTAGGACTACAATGGGTTCTGTGTATCTACTGGCCCAAAGTAGAAACAGTGCCCAATAAATCTTAATACCGAACTAGTAACAATTTTACTTTCAATTGGCTTGGGGTACAAATTTGGCACAGGCTGCTTCATGAAACTTAACTTAGTATTACCTGAAGAGCATACATGTACAGTATTATGCATAATGGATAATGTCTATTTGGTAAGGTTTTATTGCACAATGGTATCTCAGAACTGCCATGTTGCTATATAACATAGACAGCTGGAATTTGTATAAAATTTAAAGAAAGGAAAAGTAAATTTGGTAGAATGTGTGTTTGGGCTTGTGTGTGAGACTGTGCCGAGGGGGGTGGGGGAGGATGACGAGGACTAAAAAATTATTATTAAAAAAGCACTAGCTGTGCAGTCATAAATGATTTTCAAAACAATATCACCCTCCAATCTGGGCCCTTTCAGTTCAGTTTAACAGTTATATTTCGTTCCTTTATTCATTTGGACAATAAAAAGATCATGACTTGTAAAGTTTTACGTCTACAGTACGTACATCAAAGTACAAACAGAACAAATTGAGCAAAAAAAATATAGTATTCACAATTAAAATCAAATACCTACCCAGAAAGAGTCCTTGAATAACGCCATTGTATTTGTGGTACAGTTGTCACTTCAGTTTATTCTTCTCTCTGTTTACTTCAAGTCATCTTGTCAAACAATGTATGAATTTGAATGGCAACATTAATCCACATCCGATTGCTTTGCACTTGTGGATTCTTTCGTTCTTCATTGGGCAAAATTAAGTCATGACTGCCCCCTCAAAGCTTCTTGTCATGTTAGTAGAAAGCGAGAAAAAATATTAGCATTTGTTTTCCTCGGGAATGATAAGACACGCTATATAAGATAATGCTAAAATAAGGTATGACCATCTACACGAGGTGATCATCATTGCAGTTTAACACTGACAAATAAAAAATAAATAGAATACTTTATGAAATTTTTGAAAATTATAACCTATGAAGTTTTTTCAGAGAGGAAAGCTTTTTAAACAAAAAGGACCAGCTAAGAGTTTTATGAATACTGTTTTAGGAATGGGATATAAAATTTTTCCTAAAAAAGAAAAATAAGAAGAAGACAAAATCGATCTTTGTGGCCGCCAACATGATTGAGCAAAATTTATGTGGGGCGCCATGAGCGATCAGCAAATCACTTTCCAGTAGTTTTACCACTGCGGTCCGGATTCTCACATGTAAATTTATTCTATTTCAAGATGGCGGGCACAAATGGAAAGTGAGTGTTTCTGATATTTATCACAAAGCGGTAAAATTATATGGTAATCATATACCACTCATATTTAATCTATAGATCATGAGCGCTGCCTTCTCTGACGTTAGTCAGTATTACGCTATACTGCTTCTTACAGAACTTAGAACGAGAGGGCGGTTGTGTCAATAAAGCCGAATGCACGTTGTCTACACGCATCACGCGCTTTCTTCTGGAAATTTCCTTGTGCGTCGTTTCGTTATTAGTCGTTTTATTTATCTTAATTGATTTCCCTTGCGGGGTATTTTAAGATCAAAAGTTATTTATGGCGCAAGCATAGTTAGGTGATTATTTAATTTGCAACGTGATAAACAAAGTAGGAAAATGAGTATTGATCGGGATCAGTAACTACTTGCAGCATGGCCCCCTTAGTGGGTCCCCCACCCGAAATTATTTATTTATTTAAAATATCACTGCATTGTGTTTCAGACTTCACCCAGAGGTCATGTGGGCACAGAGAGATGACAAGTTATTTTTAACAATAAACCTGGCTGATGTACGGAAAAAAGATGCAAGAATAGAGCTCAAAGAAGACAAATTAATTTTTAGGTAATAATATATTTTCCATGAAATATATATATATATATATATATATATATATATATATATATATGTTTTTTTTTATTTTTATTTTTGATGATGAAGAAAAATTCACAAGGCATCATGATTGTTTATGTGATACAAATTTTAATTTTAATTTTAGTGGTAATGGTGGACCAGAGAAACATGACTATGAAGCAGAGATAGAATTTTATGCAGCTGTTAAGCCAGAGGTTGGTGTAATAAATTTCACCTTTGAAAATATAAAGAAATAAATAAAACAATGTAAACAAAAAGAAATGTTTCTTATGTAATATAAAGTTGTATTAAACAACATATAAGTAAACTATGTAGTCAGTTTTCCCTCTTTTTTCAGTAACAAGGGATCTTAATTTTCGAAAGTAATTTCCGGGCTAACACAAGCCCATCTTCATTGTTGTCATGTC